TGAATGTTAACTTCATATTGTGTGTTTTTTGTTTTTTGTTTTTGAGACAGAGTCTTGCTCTGTCACCCAGGCTAGAGTGCCGTGGCATCTGCTTAGCTCACAGCAACCTCAAACTCCTGGGCTCAAGCAATCCTCCTGCCTTAGCCTCCAGAGTATCTGAGACTAACAGGCGCACGCCACTCCCAGCTAATTTTTCTATTTTTAGTAGAGATGTTCTTATTGTTATTATAGCTGAAGAACAAACGTAGGTTACCTTAAGGGTTTGACCATCAAGAACCTAGTTGCTCTGCTCATAGGGAGCATAATGGCCTCTTCTCTGTCCCTGGAGATCATAGAAAAAGAGAGAGGTGGGGCCCAGTACCGGTAGTCATACCCTCTTTTTAAGAGAGCCCCACAAATGGTATCACTTCTTTACTTAAGCCCCAAAATACACTGATATTGAGCAACATGGTATGAAGTATAGACATTTGTTATATCCTCTGACAAGATAAGAGTTTCTGGGCTTCTTCAGGAAAATTCATCAGGAACAAAACCTATAGCGGTCCAGATTGTCCTTAAAGATCATGTGGCCAGCTAAAAGGGGAGAGAATGGGCTGGGGATAGGAAAACAAGCCCTGTTGAGACCAAGTGATTCTTGTGTAAAGAATTAAAAGAAAGGAAGAACAAGTTGAGATCTTTGAAGTTGCTTTTCTTTGGCAAAACTTGCCAGTCATCTTTAGTTGCTATTTAATTCCTCTTCTGTTTTGTAAACTAAGATGGCACATTTTAGGTGGTAGGCCCTGCTTCGGTATGCCCTCTTTTATGGTGTTTTCCATATTCTACACTTACAAGAGCTAATAATATCTTAACCCTTGATTATCACTTATAAATATTTTTTAATTAGCTTGATATTTTGTTCTTTTCACTTTGATTTTGCTTAACCTGTGCCTCTTTGTGACTCAGCAGTCCTTTTTTCCCCCTTTGGCCTGTAGGTATACAGAAGTGTTCTGTTGAGAAGTATCCCAAGAGAAGTTGTAGCATATAATAAAAACATAAATGGTGATTTTGAAATGATAGATTGTGGTAAGTTATCCAATTTAATATGCTATATGTAAAACACCGTTGATGACATTGTGTGTAATATAGTGGGTGTTGGGCAACTTGGAAATAGGAGTCATGATGTAGGTAGGGTGGGCAAGGCACACATTTTAAAAGGATGAAGTCTGAGATAAGGATGGGCAGGTATAGTGTATAGAAACCAATTATTTGTCCCTCGTTAATTGTGCTTTGGAAATTTTCTAGTCTATTTATGCATGTTAATAAAACACAGAAAAGACACTTAATAAAATTCATAAATCTCAATGACAGGGAACTCAAGGTAGCTTTCAGTGATCTTCCTGAGGAGATAATTAAGGAAATGTGCTGTTCATAATAAGTATATAGGTGATTCTGCTACCACAAAAGGAAAGGAAAATCAAATAGTTAGTATTCATGTTCCTCTTCTGCCCATCTCCTTTTCTTTGTCTCATCTTTCTGTGTATTTAAAGTGCATGTGTCCTGCCATAGAAGTAAGGAAGAAAAAAAAAA